AAACCTCAAGATAGGCGCAGACGTCAGTTTATTTTTAAGGAAAACTATAGCATTCTGACAGTCTTGTGTCCACCCAAAAGGAACATCAGCTCTCGTAAGAGCAAAAAGAGGTTCAGCATGTCGGGCATATTCATGAATGAAGTGCCGGTAGTAGCTGGTTATGCCTAAGAACTGTCTCACTTGCTTGGAGTTTACTGGAGTCCTGTTGGATATCAAGTACTTGGGAGCGCCATGCCTAGCAAACACTTCAGTGAGAAGCTTACTGGCAGCAACCAAAGCTGTAGCTTCCCTCACCACGCACACCTCAATCCACTTAGAAAAGTAATCTACAAACACAAGGATGTATGCATTTCCACTCGGCGTTCGGGGCAAAGGGCCCACAAAGTCCACCCCAGCATATTCCCAAGGATATTGGGGGCAGATTGGAACCATGAAGCCACCAGGCTTTCTCTGGGATGGCTTAGTGAATTGGCAGATGGCACATGAACCCACATACTTCTTCACATCTGACAGCATGTTGGGCCAGAAAAATCTCTGCTTAAGTCTTGTCACCGTTTTTGTCACACCCAAGTGACCTGCGGTGGGATGGTCATGATAATACTCCAACAGAGACCTTCTGACAGTCTGGGGAGCATAAAGCTTGAACTGTTTCATGGGGTGTAATGTACAAGAAGGTTTTGGATCCTTGTGATACAGAAGACAGCATCTTTCACTGTAAGTCTATTCAATCCTCGATAGTCAACGCAAAACCTTAGTTCACCAGAAGGCTTTTGAACGGTAACAATCGACGCGGCCCACGGCCCCGATGCCGGGTCAATAATGCCTTCTGCCAATATCATGTCAATCTGCCGCTCAATCAATTCTTTCTTTGCAGGTGAAGTACGGTATGGAGCGAGATGGATAGGTCGGGCATGTCCAGTGTCAATTGTATACTCAACTATGGATGTATGGCCTACATGTCCATCAGCTCAACTATGGATGTATGGCCTAGATGTCCATCAAATAATTCAGCAAAAGATCTCAACAACTCGGCCAGCTTGACTTTTTCACCCTCATTTAAAGCAGCCCCATCAACTTTCGTGTCCAGACAAGAAGAACCGTCTTGTAAGCCAAGCAGACTGTGATTCGGCATCATCACATCAACGCCCTCCAGTTCAGCCTCAGCCTCTGGCTCATCCCCCAGAACAACAGTTCTGGAAGGAACCTGGATCACAACAGAACAAGCGGGGTTGAAAGATTTTGGATGACTGCAAAGCGATGGTAAAAGCGTTGGCCCATAAACCCAAACTGTAACCACACTAACCCCGATGGACAGCAAATTCCCCCATCGGCAAGCTGCAAAGGAGATGCAGACCATGTTGTTGTTTTAAATGTCCCCCCTGGAACAAATCTAGAAACATCTGCACGCACGGCTGAAACAGAAGCCCCCGTATCCAGAGTAGCTTCAAGTGCCTGGCTATGAAAATTGACCTGAACACGAAAAGATGTGTTCCAGTAAGATGGGGATGTGATGCCTTCCACGTGACCAAGAGCAAGCTGAGTGGCCTGGGATGAGGCAGGTGAGTGAGGCTCAATTACTGTCTCGGGGGGGGGAAGGATTGCCTCTCTGAAAAGTCCTCCCCCCCCTGAAGTTTCCCGACCTGGGCCTAACTGAAGCACCCAAGCCTGCAACCGTTGTTTGAGACCTGTTACTTGGGACTTCAGAACCCGATGTCTCTGTAGTCTGTCCAGTCTGACAATTGGGTGAACCTCCCGAGTGCACAGTTTGGCTGTTTTGCTGCTTACAGTTTGGGCAGTTACGGGAAGTAAACCCCGGTGTCAAACATTTAAAACAATGAAGTTCTCTTACAACCGGAACTGACTGTGGAACCTCGGGCACATATTGACCACATGGACCCAAGACTGCATGCAGCTCATGCGCACGCAAGAGAAGGTCCATCACAGACGTCACCGCCGTGCCATAGAGTGCTACCCTGTATTTTTCGACAGCGTGCTTGCATATTAGCTCAATTTGTTCTGGCTGAGGAGGCGGACTTCTCAATTTTCGAAATTCACTCAGCATATGGGCGACAAACGTAGGTAAAGGTTCGTTCGGCATCTGAACCCTGTCTAGGATACCCCTCCTAATGCGCTCCTGATTGTCAGATGGCAGAAAAACCTTCTTAAATAGATCACAAAACTGGGACCATGTGGAAACATGGGAGCTCAAGACATTTAACCACTTCTTCGGCTCTTTGGACAGAAAACGCGGGAGCTCCAGTAACATCTGGGAATCAGTAAGATCCAGTGAAGTCCTGTATATATCGACAGACTGAAGCCAGTCGTCTGGACTCACCTTTGCTTCACCGTCAAAAATTAAAGGTTCAAGACGTGATTGATGGAGGACAGAGGCCAAGAACCTAGACGTAGCCGACAAATCAGCCGAGGCTGTTTGAGCCACCACAGGCCCACATACATGAGGCATATTAGCAGAAACTGACCTTGAAACGCCTAGTGGAGGTTGCCCTCGAACAAACGGTGTAGAAGCACCCAAGGGGTTAGACTGTGGTCTTGGCTCAACAGGAACCGTCCCATCATCAGGACTCATACAATCAATCATACTCTTTTGCAGGTCCAGCGAGTCACGGAGACATCATTGCAGTACAGCAACCTCGTCCCGCAGGAGCTGCACCTGAGACCGTATGTCTCCATCCCCACTCGGGGATGTACCCTGTCTTGGCAAATAGTCAGAACATGTCAGTAAGTCAAACAATTCACGATTTGTGGCCATCTTATACACCCTGTAATATAATAGCAAATTTCAGAAATATCAAAAGAAAAGTAAAACAAAATATTACATGCAGATGCACACAATTTACAAAGGGTTAACTACAAAATAAGTAGAATAAACAGTACAATGAACCTGCTTGTTCCCTTTAGAAATATGCATGCTTTCGTGCAGCCTGTATGCTAAAGCACAATAAACAATTTACCTCAGAGAATGTGCACAAAAACAAATGCAACCTGAAATAAAGTCCGGGGGTTTTTTTGTTTGTTTTTTTCTCCAGTCTTCCAGAATCAGTGTTCCTTGTTGCACGTGTCAGGCCATGTGAAGTGATTGAAAAACGTGACTACAACCAGTAATATATTATATCGTTATTTCAAAAATGTCCAATCCGGCAAAAAACAAAATAAATATCCGTTTGTCATCCAAAGAGAAAAAAAACGATGTAAAATCTTCCAAGTGTCCCTTCTTTATGTCTTTTCAATCAAAGTTTCGTAGCTATAGAATAATGAACCGTCTCTCCCCTCGAAAGAAAAACAAAAATCTGTCCAACTAGATGAAACAACACAAAATTCACCTTCACTCTTTTGTCCTTGCACCTCCAATCGATCCCGAACAAGTCTTCAAAGAACAGCAGAAAATCTGCAGAACGCCATCACACGTCCTTTTTCCCGGGATCCGCGCGGCCTACTCTCTAACCTGCCGTCGGTCTTTCCTGGATAAAGTTACCCCGCCGTACCACGAAGACGTCCGTCGATAATCAATAGCCGCCAGGAGAGACGAGTAAAAGAGATAACCTTGGTAGATCCACACTGTTCGGGCGCCACTTTGTAACACCGAGTTGAAATGTTAAACAGCCCAGATGGGAAACTGTGTGGGGCTAATAATGCACGGGAGACGAGAGGATGGCGTATTTTCCCGAGTTTAATAAAACACCTCAAGCACGACACACTCGTCCACATAACATGGGGAACGAGTGAGAGAAAAAAAAGTACATAAGCATCCAACTCAGGTCACAAACAGAAAGGAATAAAATAAAACAAAGATGTCAGTAGAGCAAGAGTCAGTTATCTCTTCACCTTTGGGGAAGTCGTGGCCTAATGGTAAGAGAGTCGGACTTGTAACCCAAGGTTGCGGGTTCGAGTCTCGTGCAGGGATTGTAGGTGGGGGGAGTGAATGTACAGCGCTCTCTTCCACCTTAAATACCACGACTGAGGTGCCCTTGAGCAAGGCACCGAACCCCCAACTGCTCCCCGGGCGCCGCAGCAAAAAATGGCTGCCCACTGCTCCGGGTGTGTGTGCACTTTGGATGGGATAAATGCAGAGCACTAATTCCGAGTATGGGTCACCATACTTGGCCACATGTCACGTCACCTTTTCAACTCGTACAGACACACGCTATGCACATGCGCAGATGTCAATCTGCCACAAAACTATCGTAAATGCTGTAGTGGCCGTTACACGACACACTTTATTCTCGTTGGTTAGATTCTGTGATGACAAGCACGACGTGTGTTGCGTGCTTATTATAACAATTCAATTCCAATGATGCTCACAAATCTGTGTTTTTATAACAGTAAAAGCATTTTTGGTGTAGTCACACTGTTATATTGAGTCACGTTTCAAAAAAGCTGATAAAAGCATATATACCCCCACTTTATTGGTATTTAAATAGCATATGCTAATGTTGAACTTATTCATGAACAGATGGC